GGGAGTAAAAGAAGACATCTCCGGGATATTTTTCGCCGATAGCTACGTTTTTATGATATATGTTCGTGACAAGCTATTGCTTTTGCGTTGTTTCGCGCGCTGTCCTATCTAATCGCTATTTAAAATGTACGTATATTACGCGAAATAATCTGAAAAGTCAGGAAGAAAGGGGAAAAGATAGGAAAGAGAGAGAGAGAGAGAGAGAGAGAGAGAGAGAGAGAGAGAGAGAGAGAGAGAGAGAGAGAGAGAGAGAGAGAGGAGAGAGAGAGAGAGAGAGAGAGAGAGAAACGGAGGGTGAGGAAGAGTTCATCGAAATACTTTGACTGGCCTTATAAGTATTGACAATCGATCCGCGCTGTGATATCAGGCCGAGCTGCGCGCATATACATATGTAGCGCGAATCGGTTTAAAACTATCGATAAGTTTTACGCATTCGATGCATTTCAGTCGCATTTAGCGGCGCGGGGCTTCCTTGGCCTTGCAGCCGCGATAAACGTAATTGCGGCGCTCGTAAAACAGGCTATACCAACAGATTTATTGCGAGGAAGAATGCGCGCGGTCCAGAAATAACAAAAGACCGAAGGAAAAAGTGAAGAAAAGGAAGAGAGAGAGAGAGAGAGAGAGAGAGAGAGAGAGAGAGTGAGGGGGGAGGGGAGGGGGGGAGCGAGGCGAAGCGAAGCGATATTTGCGTTCCCCGCGGTGCGATCAGGTCCCGGTCTTTTTAATCGCGGACCCCGTCGGAGGTAAAAGCGCGCGATTTGTCGAAAGTGATTTATTTTATTATTATGCGGCGCTGGACTCGCGCGCGCGCGCGGGAGACGAATCGCGCGAGAATTGTCCCGGCGCGTATAATGGTCCGTAATGATTATTCCCGTATATATCATTGTTCGAATTGTGTACAAGATCAGATGCACCGTTAGGCGCGCACATGTTTCCGAAGGCGCATTTATAAACATGGCTGAAACGCGCGCGCGCGCGCGCGCGGGATGTCTGGGTCTGTTGGCGCGGCTGAAATTGCGGCTGCAATTCCGTGTTATCTCGTGTATATCGGCGGAAATTTCTTTTCCCGTAACTTTCCACATTGCACATTGCGTATCCGATAACATTGTTCTTTTGCATAGCGGCGAGCGATTCCACGAAGCTGTAAAATGCCGGCGCGACAATTTAGCCGCGTAACAACTTCCAGGAGATCTCACCGGCCGACTGGCGAGCGCGCGACCGTGGCGTTCGTTCCGCCGGCTCTCGATATCGCGGCCTCTCGATGTATGTACGGGACAGAAGAAATCGATTCGGATAGTTCAATTAGAGACAGTTATTAGATTAGGGACATAGCTAATATCTCAATATTGTGCAACGCGAGAGGAATCGATATCTCGTGGAATTACTTGGAAACGAAACAACGGAATATTCCTCTGCGCCGACTAGAAACGCAATATGCTCTTGGACTGATTTGTCGAATGAATACAAAACAATATTAATCCAAAGTGGACGAATAGATGTGTCTACACGGTGTCTTGATCTTTACATACAGTTAATGTGAATTTTCTCCTTAGCCCCACACTCAATCAATTGAGCGATGGATACAAATAAAAATCCGCACTGTGATAATCGCGGAGAAACACGTTTCCATTTGCGCGCGTCCCATCTCTTTTCCATTCGCGTTGCGAATGGAAGAAGCAAGCAGCAAATCTGCGATTCCGATCGGAAAGTGTTTTTCTCTCGCTCCGCGACTGAGACGCCGCGCTACGCTCATGTGAGTCTACGGACAATATCGACGATCGAGATCAGCGAATATCCCGAGCTAACGGGAGTCCCTCAATTAAACGGCAATAGTCCCGCAGTAATTAGAATATTTAGAGCCACGCCGTGTCTACGGTGCCCGGAGCGTTTAGGCGATGATTTACAGGCCGCGCGCCGAGGCATATAACACACGCACTCTCACGCGCTCTCTCGCACCCACGAGTCTTTGTTGCAGCGCGCTCGCGCGAAGCGTGGAAACTATAAGGTATAAACAATAAAACAATCGGATGGTGGCGGCGTGGCGATAAATCACGGCGGACACAGTTATCTGCAGTGGCTGCGAGAGGTATAAAACGCGCCGCGGCTTAGCCTTCGGTAAATTTAGCTATTGTCGTGCCTAGGATATATTAAATCTCGTTAAAATGTCTTCATGGGACCGCAGTGTCGCGCGCGCGAGTTCGCCGGCTGCATCGGGAAGGAGAGAGAGGGAGAGAGAGAGAGAGAGAGAGAGAGAGAGAGAGAGAGAGAGAGAGAGAGAGCTCCCGAGATAGGGTTCAAGGGAGAAAGAGAGAATAGCGTTCCACACTATGCGACGGCGTGGTGAATGTCGTATATTTGACGCGTAACACCGCGTTGAATGCGTCTCGAGCTGGTGAATCCGCGATCCATCCGAACGACGTGGCGCACGGCATTCGTCGTTCGCTCCTTCATCTCGCGGCTTGGACGATGCAGCTCTCCTTCAGCCGGCATCCGATCGCGCCGCGCTGGGGCTGGGAAATACGTCGCGATCACGGTGGACGACGATGCATGAATTATGCAGGAATACCGACACACGCGGGTGTCTCTCTTCGGCGAGACTCGAGTGTGGGAGTGATTCTCTCTCTCTCTCTCTCTCTCTCTTTCTCTCTGCCCCTCTCCCCTCCTCTCTCTCTCTCTCTCTCTTTCCGCTCTCTTCGTGCCTTTTTCTCTTTTCCCCGCCGAAGAATGGATCCGCGCCCACTTATTTATTTAAGACGACAGTTCTACCTGCATCGGCGGCCGCCCCTTGACCGTCCGAACTCGAGCTTCCCTACGTCCGTCTATTGATTTATTCCGCTCATCTTGGGCGGTTATCGAGGGATAAAGAGAGTACAGGCGCGATCGACGGGCGCGCGATCTAATCTGTCGATGGCGGCGCGCTGGGCTGAACACACCGAACGGAATATTCGTCGATTTCGTGAATATTCATTTCTCCTGACGGTTTCGATGTTTATTCACCAGAAGGTACGTGACGTGATCAAAGTGAATAATCATTAGAGAGTTGTCGTCGTATCGTCGGCGATAAATCTAATCGACAAAAGGGGACACACAGAAGGAAGGATTTATTTTTTATCTCCCTATGAACTCGTTATTTGCTATGATATTTATTCGATTTTATTTATTCGGCTTGATATCGATGAGAAGGGAAATTTTATCTGTCACGTTGCTGCGCGGCCTCGGGACGATTTGATAAATTGTGCGTGCCTCATCTCCGACGTTCCAGCGGATTCGAGAGGACCCCGCGCGCGCGCGCGCGGTTGGGCCAGTATACAGTGCCTCTCTCGCGTCACTTTCCATACGAGACATTCAGACACCTACGTGCGAACGACTCGGTGCGCAGCGGAACAATGGGCACCCTCGAATGCGCGCGCGCGCGGGCTCTACCGTGATTATTGTAATGACGGTGCGCGTCTGTGAACACTCGAATGATATAATTCGCGAGCCCGCGCCACACGCCACAGAATAACGATGCCGCTCGCGCGCTCGCGCTCGGTTAACCGCGCGCAGCCGATAATTTATTCCCGCGCTTCCCCTTGCTCTCCCACCCGTCGTTCCCGCCGATAGCAGCGGCTTTCCACGATATTTCTCCGCGCTGGCGCTCGCTTCCGGAATACACGGTGACTTTCGCGATATACGACTTCACCCTCGGTCGTCACCGGACACGTGACGTAGCGTTAGCGCGTAATCGGTGCGCGCGTCGGATCCCGCTGGGAATGCGCGTCTCCTCGTCTCGTCACAATCTTATCGCCGGGGTATTGTTCCTCGTCTCGTCTTCTTCATGGTCCGAGGCGGACACGTAGAGAATTCGACGTGGACCCGAGTGGCTACATATTTCATCGGGATGACGAGCGAATGCTCGTAAATCTGGTGGCTGTCGGTTAGATTGGAATCTGGAAAGCGTGTTTCGTATTTGATTAGGATTCTATTTCGTGGCGCTTATTCACTTCTGACCACCGCCGTAGCGGCGGAGAGTCAATATTATCACACGTGCTCGAAACGCCGACAGAGGGGCCCGGCGGTTCTCGTCGCTGCTCGTCCTCGTATCGAATCGCGCCCCCCATTTTGAGATCGGGCCGAACGTAGAGTACACCTGCATTCGATTGGTGGTACACAGGCGTGTTTAGTCCGAGTCCGTTCGTTTCCAGGTAAAAGCTCGCTTCGAATCCAAGTGCATGTATGTATATTTGTATTTTTTCTTAGATCAAAGTGGGGACACTCTCCGTTTCCTCCTTCTTCGGTGGGACGAGTGCGTCTCGCGCCTTCGTCGTCGGAGAATTCACCGACGAGAGAGAGAGAGAGAGAGAGAGAGAGAGACGCGGTCGCAATGCGCGCGATTCGTGACGCCCGCCGTCGTGGGTGTCCGAGAAACGCGCGGCGGGATAATTTATCGGGAGAGCTCGCGAGTTAATTCGGAGTGAGGGAAAAATATGGAACGTCCCCCTCTCTCTCTCTGCTCTCGGCATTTTTTACGATGGTCGTTTCCGTTCGCCGGTAATGTGACTTTGTACATTTTTATGCCCGCACTGGCGCAATGGGCACGGCTGTAAAACACTTATGACACCCGTGGCATAATAATGTTACTCGATAGCGGCTCTATCTCGGTGTATATAACTCACCGCATTCGCCATTTTCCTAATTAATGTTTAATGCTCCAATATCTGCCCTCCTTACTCGCGAATACGCCTGCGCGCTTGATGTCGCGATGACAAGCGACTTCGCGTCGCGATTTCGCTGCGCGTCGATTTCGACCTGTTTCGCTGAAATTAGCGCAGTCAGAAAGCGGAAGCGATATGCTTCTCACGGTCGTTCTCGGTCTGGAAGGCCCAAAGGTCCTTTCAGAACCAAGGACCAAGATGGTTCTCTAACGGGGTCGCTTTATATAACGCGCGAGTCCAAGGAGCTTCGGCTCGGAATCGGACCTGAACGGTCGTCAATCATTGTGTTGTCTCTTGTGATTTCAGTCGCATCAAGAGGAAGATGCGTCCGACTCGGATCAGGACGACGACAGCACGGAAGACCTATTCCAACAGCCTCGGCAGAGCAACACGCAATCTCCGCTGGACACCGGGTCGTTGCAGGCCGGCAATAATCTAGTGCCGAATCCTACATTGGCACAGATCCAAAATCTGCTGACCGCCCACCCGCACATTCTGACGAAGATGAAACTGGAGGTAAGTGTCCTAAAAGTTTTACATGTCCTAAAAGTTTTACATGTAGCTTTAGTCCACCCTAACCTAATCCTATCGACCAGACCAGCTTTGCTTTCGGCGAACCTTTTCCCGCGAGCGACTTCCTGTAGCGCGTGATTCGCACCCGCTTAGCTTTCATCAAACACGCCGCATTGTCGAAAAGTTCCCTTCGCGTTCGGCCGCAGCCAAGACGAGTTTCCGTCCTCCGAAGATAAGCGGTCGCATAATTCGTCATAAAACCTGCTCGCGCGAAGGAGTCGCGCGCGTTCGTTGACCTACAAAAGTGGCAAGGTGGAGTGACGCCTACTCGTGGAAAATCGTGAGATAGTCGTACGTTGCGGACGTTGACAGTCATAAATGAGTTAGCATCGTGTCACCGCGCGTGCGCGCGCGCACGCAACAAAAGATTTCTTCTTTTTTTCTTTTTTTTTTTTTTCCTTTTATTGCGCAACAGCCTCAACCGGATGAGACACACGGGAGGGAGGGGGGGGCGAGCCTGGACGTGGCGCAAATCTCTTTTACGATCGCCGTTCCGATAACAAATTTTCGCCGTAATCTCGTAATGCGGAATAACATCGGCGGATATTAGGCGGCGCGATCTCCGTCTACGTGAATTCGTCTTCGGCACCCGAATAGTCGAACGACCGACTACTCACTCCCTCCCTCCCCCCTTTATCAATCGCTCGTCATCGCTTCATCAATCTAATCGTCACGCTTCTTTCACGCAGGAGATGATGATGTATGCTGCGCTTTTGCAATTGCAGAACGAAAGTGAAATGCTGGAAAACACTAGGAATGGACTGGACGCGTTACATCGGGTGTTCAACGAAGCAGCGTTGAACAACAGCAATATGTCGCCCTTCGGCAGCATGCCCCATTTCAGTTTCAATCCGCATTCGTTCCTGTCGCAACCGCAGTTGCACAACAATCACGCGCAACTGGGAAGTTACAGCAGCGTGTCCGGCAGCCGCATAGTCTCGCCTGTCAACACCCGTCACAGCGATTCTCCGATGGGCAGCAGCCCGTCGGGTAGCAGCGAGGTCCGCGAGACCAACAATAACAATAGCAGCAGCAACAACAACAACAACAACAACAACAACAACAACCACCACCACCACAGAGAGTCGCAGAATGTGCGCGCGGAGTGCAGCAACAGCGTGCAAAACAGCGTCGCCGGCACGAGCCATCAGCCGGGACCGAGTCAGCAACCGGGACCGAGTCACCCGCCAGGGCCGAGTCCTTTGCCAGGATCGAATCCTCAGCAGACGAGCTGGAGCTTCGAGGATCAATTTAAACAGGTATGTCAAATATGATTTGTCCAGCTATACACGCGCATACTCCGCTCGCTCGCCTCCATTTCCTCGATAAGATACCGCATTCGCTTTGTCCTCGATCGCTGTCGACGAGGGCTGTCTATTTGACGATGAGGGCTGGGTAAACCGAGCAACCGCATAACAATCACAGACTTTAGCAAATAGGCCGGCCGGGTTGCACGGCTTGAGAAGTAGTCTCTCTCTCTCTCTCTCTCTCCCCCCCCCTCCCCCCTCTCTCTCTCTCTCTCTCTCTGTCTCTTTCTCTTTCTCTTTCTATCGTATCGGCCGAAGAAGCCCCGGAAAGAAAAAGCATCGGCAGGCCGAGCAGTGCATTAATTACGCGAGCGATCCGACAACTTCCGGGGGTAGCTTTGCCGGCCGCGAGTCTCTCTCTCTCTCTCTCTCTCTCGACTTCAGCGGCTTTAGCGTGCGGCGCGATGCCAGGCCGAGTGTCGTGGGCGTGAATAACTCGCGCGCGGTCGCCTTTGTGGGACACTGGTTAGTGCCACGAGGGACGTGTAATTACGACGGAACTCTCCCCTTGCGCAAGAGCGCGGGACGAGAACGCGGCGGCCGGCCGCGCACGGTGAGAGCGAGAGAGAAAGGGGGAGGCTTTAATTAATGCAACGATGGGAGCTAATTATTATTTTTACACGGGCGGGAGATAATTACCGACCGACCGAGTGGCCGGCCGACTGACTGTCCGTTTGTCCGTTCGTTTGCTCGTCGACGGTGTTTCGGACAAGAACGAGACGATCGGCTCGACACCGAGAAAGAGAGAGAGAGAGAGAGAGAGAGAGAGAGAGAGAGAGAGAGAGAGAGAGAGAGAGAGAGAGAGAGAGAGAGAGAAAGAGAGAGCGAAAGAGAGAAAGGAGCATCTCGGGACCGGGATAGCGGATAGTAGATGGGAGAGGGCAGAGGACGAAGTTATAGAATTAGTCGGGGCCGCATCGCAGCCTTGTTAACGCTTTTTGCAGCGGCCGCCGCGTACTCTGCTCGCGCTTGCATTTTTGCTGTACGGGGTCGAGGGCCCGGTCACCTTGCCCGACCGCGGTTTTCACTTTTTGCGAAGGGGGTGTGGTATCGGATTACCATTTAGATTGTTGTTCGCGCGCGCGCGCGCGAACCTTCTCGCGGACCGCGCGACAAACTCACTTGGGGGATGCTCGCCTCGACTCTCGACGAGCGGTAGTTGATAAATCCGTATCGCGACGGGCGACGGGTCTGTAAAATCACGTGATGAATATATCTGCATGTTTCAACGCTTGTGGATATTTCCGGTGAAAAAACAACACGCCTCTCGCGAGCGAGAGAGGGAGAGAGAGAGCGCGAGCGCGTTCTTGATCGGCGAGGTCGCGTCATTTTCGGCCGTTTTCGCGGAACAGAGAGTGTGGGCGCGAGAAGCGTATCACCTCTGATTGAAATGTGCGCAACGGGCGGGAAGCGCGCGCTTGTGTGACGCTTGCTCGCGGATAAACGGGCTGCGAGCGGGGCGGGAGGAAGTGAGGAACAACGAGCGCGGGAATGGAAATAGAAGTCTCCACCTACTCGCCAAACGGCGCCCGCATCTCACGGAGATCGCATCCATCATTCCGGCGAGGGCGTACAAGCTGGGTCTTTAATCTTTCTTCTTCGGGGTGATGGTGGAGTTTCGTCTGTTTTAACCTTCCCCCGTTTCCTCTCGTTTTCTTTTCCTCGTCGAGGTGTCGGTAATCGCTCGCGTTTCTTCCCGCGCCGCGAATCTCTCTCTCTCTCTCTCTCTCTCTCTCTCTCTCTCTCTCTCTCTCTGTCTGTCTGTCTGTCTGTCTGTCTGTCTGTCTGTCTCGAGGCTTCTCGTGTCTCGCGTCGCCGCCTCGACGGCGGATAATCGCCACGCGAGCCGCTCTCTCGCCATCGCAAACGTATCGCCATCGCGACGAGCCTCGATCGAGAGATTCGGCCTAACGCGCTCTCAGAAACCGGCTCTAACTCGCCGGAATAAGAGCGTCCAACCTCCGGACAGGTTTATAGTCGGTCGGTTATTGTCTCGAAACAGGGTAGCGTACTGGGACGGGAGCGTCCGTCCCCTCCGCCCTCCTCCCACCTCACCTCACCCCACCCCCGCCCGACGCGCCCCGCGAGCTCGTTTCAGCGAAGCAACGATCGACGTTGTATACCTACCTATCGTACACAAAGTAATCCAGCGACGGTGATAGCCAACGCGAACATCGCGTCCATACGAGAGAGGAGAGACCCTCCTCCTCCTCCTCCTCCTCCTCCTTCTCCTCCTCCTCCTCCTCGTCCTCCTTGGTCCGCCTCAGCCCTCGTTTGCTCGCTCTCTATCTCTCTCTCTCTCTCTCTCTCTCTCTCTCTCTCTCTCTCTCTCTCTCTCTCTCTCTCGCGCGCGCGCGCGCGCGCACGCACCCACACGCGCTCGTCTCTCGCAGGCCGTGCAACACCGTTCGCTGACCGTGCACTCGAGCTACCACGGCGATATAATACTGTAGCACTATACTTTGCAGCCATTGTGAAATAACTCGTAAACCTGCAAATTGCCGGCTATTTTGCTCCCATACACGCTTGCACGGCGACCTTTTACGCCGCGCGCCGTCTGTGTGTATTGTGTGTTCGACCGTAGATCGAGAACGAGAGAGGAGGGAGGGGGGAGGGGGAGCTTCGTTGCTTCTCTATGAGCGTGTATGTTTCACGCGGCTAAGACACCGTGCTTCGTCCAGCAAGCACCACGGCGTGTCCTCCACGCTCACGTGTGTGTTCGACGTCGCGCGAGCGACGATTCACAGGGTGGTCTGCGAACTCGCTCTCTTTTCGCGCGTGCGCGCGCGCGCGCGAGAGAGAGAGAGAGAGAGGTAGATAAATAAATTGTTACGAATAACTGAAATTGTTCCGTTCGCCGATTCGGACTAATGAACGCGGCGAAATTGATTTCTCGATCAACGTGACGTTACCGTTACCGGTCGTCGGCATTGCACGCTCCTTGAGAACAAGTCTCTTTTTCTCTCTCTCTCTCTTCAACGAGCAAACAGATGAAGATATTCGTTGAAACGAGCATCAGAACGGAATTCAAGCACGACGATCTCGCGGCGCAAGAAAATAAAAAGTCGGCCGACTCCTCGAGGGATCTAAACGCGCGTGAGACGAATAGGGACACCTCGTATATCGCGCTCGATGTCGCGATGGCAAGACAAACGATGACGAGCGCGCAGCGCGAGTTATCATTGTGATTATGCAAATGCATTATCATTATGCAGATGCACCGGTACACCTAAAACTTAGAACACGATTCGTCGTCGCCGTCGCCGTCGCCGTCGCTGTTGTAGTCGTGGCGCGCTTAACTTGGACCGTAGGTGGGCGCATGCTTTGTAATTTTGAAAAATAACGTCGTTCGCGTCTCCGGGCCGAAATCTCCAGGTATAAAGAGGTGAAAAGTAACAAGTCTCGCGGCGCGCGCGTGTGTGCGAGGTATTCCGAACAAAGCGCCGTGCGAAATCGGTCTCGTTTTATCCGATCCATTCCTCGCGTCGCTTCCTGTATCGAGCGGCGCAATCGTCTTCGCGTGGATCGCAACGCGTTGCAACGATTGTTATTGGCAGCAGTCTCGCCGAATCGCGCGAGCGGGGACGCTTGGCAGCGCTCGCTTTTTTACGATCGACATGTGCATCGAGTGTTCAATTGTCGCTCGGCGAAAATTAATTCCCCCGCCCGCGGACTTCCTCGGATGACGTAGACCCTCCGCGCGGCGGACAATTATGCTTTTATTGTCCAATGGCGCATTCGCGTTCACCGCGGAAATGCTCATGCACTGTCCCGCCGGCGTTGTGTTATCGTTGTGTTAATAACGTATAGCGTGATAAGACAGCTGCGATCGCGCGCGCGCGCGCGATCGCTTCTTTCCTTTTTATTTCCAAAGTCTGTGTGCGTTCGCGGCCCGCGTCTATCACGTGAGAGCGGCGAATGACGTTTGCGCGCAATATTTATAGACGCGCGCGTCGTCTACATCTCATATTAACCTTGCCAGAGCCGCGGAGGTGCGCGCGCCGATATCGGGTCGCGCGCGATACCGCAGGAATATCGTAAACTTTATCGACGTCGACAATTAATTCTCATTCGTTGATGTTGCGAAGGTAAGAGAGAATGATGTCGCGTGCAAACGCGCGATATTATACACGGTAGCTCGCTCTCACTCTCTCTCTCTTTCTCTCTCTCTCTCTCTCTCTCTCTCTCTCGCGATCGCGTATGCACGAGGAGGAGCTACGAATGTCCGTTCTACGAAATACCTCCGTCGTGCGGCGCGCTCGCACTGCTTTCTGTCGCATACATTACGCTATTGTCGCTAGATAAGCTGCGCCGATAAACGATGGAAAAGCCGTGTGTGAGAATCCGATGCGCCGACAATTCTTGCTTAATACCTTGTAGCCTTTTTCGCCTCATTATCGTCGCCGGCGCGTCCGCCGCTCCTCGTATTTTTTCTCGCGCTCGTCCGTATTGCTCGATCAATTAGCCGGCGTACGCGTGCGAAAACGCAATTACCGTAGTAGCGGGGTGCTCAACGAGATTATTATTGAGCGTCGCGCGTACGCGTCTCTCTCTCTCTCTCTCTCTCTCTCTCTCTCTCTCTTTCTCTCGTGCGAAGGGTGTCGTCCGACTGCTTCCATTGTCGCGTCCCTTTTGTTTTTCAGATACGGGGAAAAGGGATTCTCTCTTTCTCTCTCTCTCTCTCTCTCTCTCTCTCTCTCTCTCTCCCTCTCCCTCTCCCTCGACAGCGCTACGGCGTATTTCCCTTAAATGGCATAATTCAGGAGAGAACGAGAAAAAGAGAGTGCACACGGAGTGGTGGTGCAACAACCTCCACCACCGACGGCGGCGCTCCGCTACCGCTGCGTTCGCGCTGCTCACAGGCGAATTCATTCGTTCGCTCGTAACTGCACATGGAATTCGAGCGTTACAATTTACGGCATGCGATATCGCGAGAAACGCGAAATCAACGC